AGGATTACAAGGTCAAGAGCAGGAAAGGCTGAGCATGATGGTGCACGCCTTTACCCCCAGCACTAGAGAGGCAGAGGATCTCTGAGTTCAAGGCCAGCATGCTATATCTACATAGCGAGTTCCAGGCCAGCCAAGGCTACACAGACCCTATCTAAGAGCAGGAAGAATCTTCCCAGTGGCTGCCTTGGACAGATAGCACAGTGTTGAGGGCTATCACCTCTACTAATTAACATGACATAAATTTTTATGCTTCCTCCTCAAATATAATTCATTTTCAATTGTGTATGCATGCGTATCTGTGGGAGTGTGTGTGCATGTGAGTGCCATTGCCTACAGAGGCCAGAAGAGAACACTGGAGCCCTTTGAACTAGAATTGCAAGCAGTTGTAAACTGCTTGATGTGGGTGCTAGGAACTGAACCAGGGTCTCTAGCCCCTGTTTTTATATTTTGGAGATGGGGGTCTCGTATGACCCAGGCTGGCCTCAAACTCCTTATGGTCTTTCTGCTTCCACCTTCCAAGTGCACTGCCACGCCCGCTTGGTCCTAAGACCCGTATGTGCCTTCTCTACTATGAGGCACAGGCACTGTGCTCCAACAGCAGCGGCAGGTCATCTGTCAGCATCTCCCCATTAAACTGATATGACTGAATAGTAGATCTAATTCAGGTTTGCAACATCAACAGAAAGGCCATGGAAGTCAGAGTCTGGATATCCAAACAGTACTTGAGAGAAAAGTGAGGACCAGACAGTAAACTGAGAGGTGTTCACGCGTTCGTGTCTGCCTCTGAGTGTTCACAGAAGCTTCATTCACAGTTCCAACAGAAACCACCCAGATACCCAGATACCCCAGGGTTCAGCAAGCAATGGCCCTGGTGCCCATGGAGCCAGCCTGCAGCCCTGCAAAGTTTTCAGTGCTTTCCCTAATAGTGAACATGAACTAAGACTGCCTAGCTTCTATCTCCTTAAATGTCTGACCCTTACAGAAAGTGTGAAAACCTTCAACCAGAACATGGAACGAAATAGCTATTAGAGACCACATGTATGAATCTCAAATGTCTCAACAAGCCACGTGTGCTACTGTGCCTGTAACCCAGCTACTCAAGAGGCCAAGGAGGCAGCAGGATGGATTAAGTCCAAGATTTTCACCTGGACAACACAGTATGACTCCCATTTCAAAAAATATGTACCTAAGTGAGCCAGGCATGGTGGCACACATCTGTCAGGGTGGCACACATCTGTCACGCCAACACTGGGGAGGCTGGGGCAGAGGATTTAGAATTCAAGACCAATCTGGACTATAAAGAGAGCATGTCTGAAAACATTAAAAATAAAAATGAGCCGGGCGTAGTGGCCCACGCCTGTAATCCCAGCACTTGGGAAGCAGAGGCAGGTGATCTCTGTGAGTTCAAGGCCAGCTTGGTCTACATAATGAGTTCTAGGACAGCTGGGGCTACAAGGAGACCCTGCTTCAAAAAGACAAAAAAATTAAATTAAATTAAAAAAAAAGCTAAGAGTGTTACTACTATTAAAAAATAAATGAAAATGAGCACAGAAATGAAGAAAGCTTCATGCTAAGTGAAAGAAGCTGTCAAAGGCGCCATCGATGTCATTTCTGTGCAGGGGCGATAAAGACAGCAGTGACTGCTGGGGACAGAAGAGGGAAGGGTCTGTCTTTTGATTATGGTGGCATCTACATGGCTGTATAAATTTGCAAAAACACATGGAAAGAATCACTTCACAAGGTAAATGTTATAGTGTATATACATTATACTTCAATTGAAAATGCAAAGGACAAGGAAAGAAAAAAGCAATTCAAAGCTGGCTAGCAGGGTGTGGCAGGGCTAAGTGCTGGTGACCCCAGGCAGTTCGTGATGCTTGAAAGTAGGAAGTGTCCATCCTAAGAGCCTCAGCTCTGAGCTGGGAGGCAAAGCAAATAGAACCTGACTTGCAGCTGTGGTCTCTGTACCCAGGCTGCTCCATGGAGAGGATGCCTCCAAATACCATAAACGCTAACAGCCATTGGGCCAGTAGGAGGATCTGGATATATCTGGGATCACTACCAGGAAGCATGAAAAATGCAACACCCAGTCCGATCCAGAGAAGAAAGGCAGAGGTGTTTGCCCCCAGCATCCACCTAACAGGGCAGAGGGGCTAGAAGACTCGGCAGGCCCTTCCTCCTCCATCCTGCACCACAAGGGGCCTGCAACACTGTAGAGGCAACAAACACACACATACACATGTGGGTGCACACACACATATATGTACACACACACATGCAGGGAGTGGGCTTAGACAACCTGGACCTGGAGTAGGGGAGTGAGAGGACCCTAAGGCTGGGAAATAAAAGACTTGGATTTGCATGTCAGTTCTGCTACTTTCTAATGACCCCAGATGATTGCTGTAAAGATGGAAAATGAGGAGCATGAGGAGCCTATCCTACTCTGACACTGACATTTTCCCTCCTGCCCAATATCTCACAGGAAGAATTCCCTGTCACTCAGATTCTCATGTCTTCCAGAAATGTGTTCCACAAGCCAGCCCTGAACCAAGAGTGAGCCTCTCCACACTTCCAAGGATTCCAGATCAGAAGACTACAGGGGTGTGCTATCATGCCTGGGTTATACAGTGCTGGGAATTAACTCAGGATATTTTTTAACTTTTAAAAAATGTCTTTATTTATTTTTATTTTATGGGTATGAGTATTTTGCCTGCATATATGTAAGTGCACCAGTGTTGTAGAGGGTGTTGGATCCCTTCAACTAGAGTTACAGACAGTTGTTAGCCATCAAGTAGGTGCTGGGAAACAAACCCAGGTCCTCTTGGAGAGTAGCCAGTGCTCTTAACCACTAAGCCATCTCTCCAGCCCCTGAGCTCAGGGTTTTTGCAGGATAGGCAAGCGCACTCTACCTATAGAGCTTCATACCCAGTCCCAAACTATCTTTTTTTTTTTTTTTCGGTCTTTTGGAGACAGGGTCTCCCTATAGCCCCAGCTGTCCTGGAACTCACTATGTAGACCAGGCTGGCCTTGAATTCACAGAGATCCGCCTGCCTCTGCCTCCGGAGTGCTGGGATCAAAGGCGTGCTCCACCACGCCCAGCTCCAAATCATCTCTTAAACAAAAACCAAAACTTGAAGTAGTGGCTCATGTCTTTAATTCTAGTACTCAGGAAGCTGAGGCAGGATTACCTCCAGTTTAAGGTCAGCTTGGACTACATAATAAATTCCAGTCTACAGAGCAAGACTCTGTCTCAAAACATCAAATTAAAAAACTTCTGAAATGAGAAATCACATGTATGTATGTATGTGTGTGTGTGTGTGTATGTTAGTGTATGTGCACCCATGTACCTATGGAGGCAGAGGAGGCTGTCAGCTGTCCTGCTCTGTCACTCTCCATCTTATCCCCTTGAGACAGTGTCTCTCACTGAACATGGAGCTAGGCTGGTGGCTAACGAGCCCCAGCAATCATACCATCTGCCTTGCCTGCCCTCAGCACTGGGGTTACAGGAGTGCGACCATGCCCAGCTTTCTACTTGGTGGTGGGAGATTCAAACTCAGGTTATCAAGCTTGCATTGCAAGTGCTCTTTACACACTGACCCATCTCTCCAATCCCTGCCTGAAATTTTTAAATGAAAATTTGTTTATCAGTGAGTTGTCATAGTAAGTATAAAGGATATGAAAAAAACACAAAATATAGTTCCTCTATAAAGTAAATGAACTCAATTCTAATTTTAAGCAAACCCTTTCAAATTGTGTTGAATACTCAGTTTGCGTTCCTCTCACAGTATAAAAATCTTAGTTCTTATATCACCAGCTGCTAGTCATGAACTGTGGAGTCTAACCCTAAACACTGACTAGCTTAAGGTAGGGTGGTAGTTCTCAAACTTACCATCTCTGTGATAGCCAGAGACTCAATATCGGCCTTTACCTCCATATATTAGAAAGTTGAGACCTCTTCCAAATTCCTGCAAATTTGTGTGGCTTTCTTTTTTGCCTCACAGAACTCTCCATCCCTGCTTGAAGCTTCCCAAACCAGCCCATGTGGGACCCAGTGACAATCTCCACCTGATGTGACTACAATCTCTTCCATCCCATCCCTTGGAACAGTTTCCTGAAGTACAAGTTCAGTCTGTCCCAGAGATGTCCAGAGGCAGAGCTGCCTACTACTGACAATTCTTTGCTGTAATGACAACTGTGTTCAGAAGACAAACAACTTATTCTTAGTAGAAAACAATTCCCACCATCACATGTGTTCCTGTAGAGCCATTTATTCACATTAGCCATCTTCTGAGATCTGACTTTCATAAAAACTCAAAGCCCTTTTCTGATGACAACTGGATAAGTGTGATAGTTTCACAGAATCTGTATGCTAACAAATCATTTCCCTTTTCATTTTGTTAAGATGCTGAAATCTTTGTCTTTAAGGACCATTCTGTTCTGAGAACTGCCTAGCCAATGCATAAATCTAACTTGAGAAGCAAAGGAATTTTTAAAAGCAATCTTTTTTTTTTTTTAATGTTTAAGAGTATCTGAAGAGGTTTAATTTAGAAAACTACCATGCTGAAGAAAGAAGAGAGCATTTGGGACAAAACTCACCTATTTCAGAAGACCAGTCAGCCAAATTTCTCAGCTAACTCTACATTTAAAAGTTTTTAGCAAGTATACATTTTAGAATCTTCTGTGCGACCCAGAACACACACTATGCTTCTAATTAGGTTCAGCTGCCTTATGTTAGTAATAAAACTGAAAGAAAGGGAGAGGTGGGGGTGGGGGCCTTGTTAATCCTCTTGCATGGCCTGCGCATCTAAGGCTCCCACAGAATATAGCACGTTCTTTTTAAATAGCCCAGTACGGCTGGTACCTGGCCCAGCCCTCAAACATTTCAAGGGTTTTTTCTTTTTTTGGTTGTTTTGTTGTTGTTGTTGTTTTTCATTAGGTCTGGAAGGGATTTCTACAAGAGTTGGAGCTCCAACCGACCCCGCGGCCCGCGCTCCAGGACTTACACCAACGCAGACGGACAGGGCATCTGGCTCCAGGGACAGTTGTACTGAGCCTGAATAAAACTCTCGCTTCCTTCCTGAACCGTGCAGCTCACGTTCTTGTTCACGATGTAGGCGCACCAGTTCCTGGGATGAAGAGAGAGGGGCAGAGTTAACTTGGAGAACAATGAGGCCGGTGAAGAGGGGGCAAGCTGACCCAGCAGCTGAGGGTCAGGAAGCCGCTGGTCACCCGCACCGGAGGCGGGAGTTTGCCAAAGCCTCCACCTCAGGTTGCCGGGTGAGCCTTTGGAAGACCCAAGAAGAGCCCCACGCCCCAGGGGCTCCGGGATTTGCCGGGGGTCTGTGGCAGGTCGCGCAAATCTGCAGGACATTCCCTCCCTTCCCGGGCCCGCCATAGGATGCTCTCGGCGTCCGGCGGGGAGCACATGGCCACCCGGAGGGGATGACGCCCCAAGAGTCCACGGGGATCCCTCGGCTGCCGCCCGTCGCCATTGGCATTGCGGACCGAGGAGGGGACAGGCAGGGACCTCGGACTCCCGGGCTAGGGGCGAGCAGAGGCAGCGCGCACTTACTTGTTCCTGGCGCTGGGCCGCGCGGGGTACCCAGGCTGCGAGCCCGCGTGGCACAGCCCCGCGCCGCCCAGGGTCCCCAGGGCCAGCAGGACCAGCGCCCAGCGCCGGGGCGCGCGGGGTCCTGGCCGGGTCGCCTGCCACATCGTGCGCGTCGCACCAGGCTGCGGGCTACGGCTCGGCGGCCCCTCCGGCTCTCGCCCCCAGTCCTCCGCACTGGCCTCTCCTCAGTCCCTCAATGACGCACAGGTCCCCCCGGGTGCCGCCCTCTTTATTTCACTTCCCTCTCCGAAACGTGACTCTGCCCTCCGCCGCGTCTCCCGGCCCTTCGCCTCTCAGCAGGGGGTTGGGGTGAAAGAGCCAAGGGGTTGGGGACCAGGGTCTCTGTTACGGAATTTCCAATTACTCGTTCCTTTGGTCTCTTCCCAGCAGCCCAGCAACTCCGCCTCTCACCTTCCAACCCGCGCGCCCCTGGCCCCTCCGGAAGTGCACGGAGGCAAGGATGGGGCTCCCACCTCGCTCCCCGCCCCAGTGCGAGCCTCCCTCCCATGGTGACCCCCCGGGCATCTCCAACAGTCCCGGAGGGGACACAGGCAGGATTTCCTATTCTGAGGAGCCACACATTTCCCCACAACCTTTAAGCACTTGAGAGTTCGGAGCGCTTGGGCTTTCTCTGGAACTGCTGGTGCAAGGATTTGAACTTTCCAAGTGTGCGGGCAGCAGCTGGACAGTGGAAGCCGCAGCTCCGGCTTCCAACAGCTGCCCTAGGTCAGCAGCAAGCTCTGTCACACGCTGTAGTAGTAGTGAAAGGTGGCGCTCTACTGAGACTTTTCTCTGTCATCATTCAAGGCATTTACTGGGCTCTCGAGATGGCTCAGTCCATAAAATGCTTGCTCTGCAAGCGTGAAGCCCGGAGTTCAGATCCCCAGGCACCCACATAAAAAGCAAGGCAGGGTGGCATAAGCTTGGAGGAGACAGGAGGATGGGGAGGGGGTTGCTGGCCAGTAAGTTTAACCAAACAGTTGAGCTCCAGGTTCAGTGACAGATCTTCTCAAGGAATAAGAGTGATTGAGGAAGACACTGGACATCCGTCTCTGGCCTATACACACACACACACACACACACACACACACTTACACACTTTTTTAAAGGCGTTTACTGTGCTGGAGTCTTGTATTTGCTTCTGAACAGTTGAGGCACTGAGGGCCTGCTTCCCCTCCCCTCCCCTCCCTTCCCCTCCCTTCCCCTCCCCTCCCCCCTCCTTTTTCCATATTTTCTGCCTACTCCCAAGCTACAGGAACCTCTGCCCATTTCTTTTTAGTGTGAAGTAACTCCATGGAAGAATGTGAAATAAAATCACCAGGAGTTGGGCTTTGTGATATACTTGGGAAGCTGGGGCAGGAGGATCCCTTTGCAGGCCAGCCTGGGCTACATAGTGAGATCTTGTCTGAACTGACTAGCTAATTAAGATCACCATCAAAGTGTGGAATTCTCAGGGGTGTGGAGGGAGCTATGCACTTGAGACCACTTGTTAGACCTCCCAGCACTGTAATTTGCAGGCTGCCTGGGCTCACTGTGGTACTGGTAAGCTATAGGTTCCTGGCTGTAAGTTGGGTGGGCAAGAAAGCTCCACTATGTTCCTGTTCTGCTAAAATGAAGCTATTGGCTCATTTTTGTTTCTCATATGATTTGTGTTGGTAGTGTTGTTGGGTCTTTTGATTTACAAATGGAAGAAAGAAAATTCCTGAAGTAGAAACTTTACAAGAGCCAAGCAGAAAATTGTACCATGTAAGGACATAATCTGTTCATGAACTTTCTAAATGGAAGATTATGCAAATAATGAACTGAAGTCATCTCAGCCTTCAAAAGAACCATGCTGGGTGAGAAAAAACAGATAAAAGACTGCCTTGTGTAATCCAATCTATGCCTTTCTGAATGACTTCCCAGACTTAAGCCATGTCCACAGAGGCCAAAAGAGGGTGTCAGATCCCCTAAAACTGGAGTTAAGAATGGGTGTGCACTGCCATGCAGGTGCTGGGAACCAAATTCAGGCCCTCCGCAAGAACAGCCAGTGCTTTTAACAACTGAGCCATCTCTCCAGCCCCAGCAGTATGCACACTGAACAGCTAAGCCATCTCTGTCCCCAACTTCCTTTCAGTGTAGGTAATTCTCAAATTTGAAAGTGGGTTGAGCTGATCCTGCCAACGCAATTGAAAACATAGCAGAAATCTGTCGGACTCTGAGCAGCAGCTGTACACGGAGACAATGGACTGTAAGGTCTCTGTATCTTAGGGTTCCACATCCATGTAGTCAAACAACCACACATCAAAAATACATGAAAAGACAAAATCGGGTCCGAATTAAGTACATTTCTTGTAATTGGTCCCTAAAATATAAAATAGCAATATTGTATTGTAAATGGTATTTGCATTGTATTAAGCATTATATGTAATGCTTATATAAGTTTTTGGTTGTGCACAGGTTATGTGCAAATTCTTTGCCACTTTACATATGGAACTTGAGCATTGTGTGTTCGTGGGATTATGGAAGCAGCCCCCAGGTTACCAAAGGACGATTATATGTAATCAACAAAAAAATATTGCTTATCAGTAGATGAATTTTATTCTAAGCATCAGTTACATGCTAGTATTTTTGTTTGGTTGGTTTGATTTTTTGAGAGAGGGTCTGGTTATGTAGTGCACATTGTCTTTAAACTCATAGCCTCTGCTTTCCAGTGCTGGGATAACAGGTACGTACCAGCACACCGGGATAGCTGGTGCATTTGTTACATGGTAGGCATTGTAGGGAAAAAAAATGCTGGTATCCATAAGGGAGCCCAAACTGCCATGGTCCTGTCTTTACAGAGCTTCCCGACACTCCTGTGAGAAAGGGTGTAAGTGCCTGTGTACACAGTCAACCTCATGCCAGTGCCTTACTGCTCAGGCTTCTTGAGACACAGGCCCTGAACGCTAGGTGTGGGGCTGCTCCAGGAAGACCTAAGAAGATCTTAGTGCACACCACGCTACCAGACAATTTCTTGTTTCTCCTGTCCGAGAAGGATGCTACAACCTCAAGAGCCAAAGACCCTTCCACAAGAAATAGTACAGAGAAACAGCCTGTGTATGGAGGGAGGGGCTTAAGCACATTAAGAAACAGAATTGGGCAGGTCATCTGATCAAAGCAGAAGCATTAACCTAGATATGGCGGGCAGAAAGCCGCAAGCATGGATTCTGCACACTCTGCCAATGACCTTAAGAGTGTTTGAAAACTCAAGTTTCCTGTAAAAGTGTGAAGGAATTTCTCTTGAGTTAAAACAGAAGTATCACATAGTAACCTGCACCCCTGATTAGTGTGATTGGTTTACCTAAAGCAAAAATCCATGATGAATTTGTTTTTTAGCAGTGAGGGTTGAACCTTGGGCTTTGTGCACATGAGGCAGGTGCTCTGCCAGCTGCATTTCCAGCCCTAAAAATCCAAACTGAAACAGTTTCATAAAATCCATTCCTGGGGGCTGGAGGGATGGCTCAGCAATTAAGAGTACGTAGTGCTCTTCCAGAGGACCTGAGTTCAATTCCCAGCAACCATGTCAGTTGTCTCACAATCACCTGTATCACCTGTAACACCAGTTCCCGGGGGATCTGACACCTCTGGCTTCCTCAGGCATCTGCATTCATGTGCACATACCCATATGCAGACACACAATATGCATAATTAAAAATAAAAATAAATTGAAGCTGGGCGTGGTGGGGCACACCTTTAATCCCAGCACTTGGGAGGCAGAAGCAGGTGGATCTCTGTGAGTTCAAGGCCAGCCTGGTCTACATAGTGAGTTCCAGGACAGCTGGGGCTACAGGGAGACCCTGTCTCAAAAAGACAAATAAATAAATAAATAATAAATAAATAAATTGAAAAAAATTCATTCCTGCCTGGGGGAGAGGGGAGTCTATCTCAGTGGTAGAACACCTCATAGCATGCACAAGGCCCTGCGTTCCATCCCCCAGCAATACACCACATACACACACACACACACACACACACACACACACACACACACAGAGTAAAAAATCCATTCCTTCATTTACTTGTTGGTCATGATATAAGGTGCTCATCACCCATCTTGGAAGAGGGAGCAGAAGGATTTTAAGAGCCAGAAGTTGGGGAGGACTAGAGCAAAAGTGCCTTTTGAACATTGCAGGACATATCCAGGAGTGTATGGGCAATACAAATTGAATTCGGTGGGTCATTAAAAAATTTAAAAAAAGAGGACACAAAGTTGGGGGGTAGGGCAGTGGAGGTGGATTTGGGAGGAGTTAGGCAGAGAAGTAAGGGCCAAATATGACTAAAATACATTTTATGACATTCTCACGGAGTTACTAAAACTATTACATTAAAAAATAAAAAGAGGGGAGGGGAGATGGCTCAGCAGTTAAGAGGATCCAAGTTTGGTTCCCAGCACCCATATCAGGTAACTCACAATGATCTGTAATTCCAGCTTCAAGAGATCCAATTCCTCTTCTGACCTCTGCAAGCACCTGCACACACATGACATGCAGACAAACACACACACACGTTAAAAATTTTAACTTTTATTTATTTTTAATTTTATGTGTATGAGCATATTGTCTGCATGTATGTAAGTGCACCCATGTCATGTAATGCCTTCAGAGGTCAGAAGATGGCATCGGATTGTTAACCACCATGTGGGTGCTAGGAATTGAACCCAGGTCCTCTGCAAGAGTAGCCAGTGCTTTTAACTGTTAAGCTATCTCTCCAGCCAAAAAGATAAAATTTTGGGTTTTTTTTTGGTCTTTTTGAGACAGGGTCTCCCTGTAGCCCCACCTGTCCTGGAACTCACCATGTAGACCAGGCTGAACTCGAACTCATAGAGATCCGCCTGCCTCTGCCTCCCAAGTACTGGGATTAAAGTCGTGTGCCACCACGCCCGGCTGATAACAATATTTTTTTTAAAATGAAAAATAAGAAGCAATAAGGCGTGCAGCAGACCCTGTATCTGAGGGTGGGAGATAATTACTGAGGCAACAGGCTGGTACATCCCCCACTGCCATCCCAGTCATTCCGGCACCGAACATTTGATAAGGTGAATTGATTCCAATCTAGGATGTGGTCAACAGTCACAAGGGGCCTGGGCGCCCATATCTGGTTCCTCATGTTTACTTTCTAGAACTTTTTGCCTGATCTCTGGGTGTCCTTTGGGGTGTCTTTGCTGCTTCATTCCTCTGCTTACTTAATGACAGAAAGACAAGTCCTTAAAGACTTATCTGTTTATTATTTCTGCAGTGCTGGAGAATGAACCCAGGGTCTT